CAAAAGCCTGACATCCGGGGCCCACAGGCCCTGCATCGTTTCAGCCTAAAAAAAGGCCTGAGCCTTTTTAGCCTGAAACTGAGGGCTATTCTCGGGCMCTCGTCAGACCAACCTGCCCTGATACAAGCACATTCGGGCATTGGYAGGAGTGACCTGCCTTGAAGCTTCCTCAAGGGCTAGCACGTGCAGGCATTGGCAAGAGCAGCCTCCTGGACGGGCCWGCACTATATAAGACTGGCCCGCCCTACAGGTTGGGACAGACGAGAGAAGACTGCCCAGGCACTCAACGTGCACTTCTACAGGAGGCAGTAGTCTTCAGGATTCGGCTGCAGTAGTAGAGTAGCGTTAGCAGYAGTCTTCAGCGCTGGGCGCTAGTAGTAGTAGACCRGAGTAGTGGAGAGAGGAGGCTGGCGGAGGCCAGGGATGCTTACCTGTGGCGCCATAGCTCCAGCTTCGTCTTCGAGGTACCTGCAGCAGAGCGCCACTCACCGAGTGACTTACCTGAGGCGCCATAGCTCCAGCTCGCCAGCGAGGTACCTRCAGCACAGCGCCACCATCACCGGGTAGTACCTGGCATCCAGAAGAGAGAGAGAGAGTTCTTCCTCTTCCTCCTCTTAGTCCACCATCTCTCTCCTACCCTCTCACTATCTGACTTCACTGCTTCGGCAGCCTACRAGAGTGAGMGTGGTTTACTTRMAGGGCTACAGGTAGGGGTTGTCACGGGCATTGGCCCAGGATCTGGTTCGACATTTTTGGGCAGACATTTGGTTGGACTTCGGCAAGGGACTATTTTGAACTTCGCTATTGCGATCTTAGTCTTCTCCCTTGCCTCCATCTTCGTCCTTCCTTCCCCCCTCCATCTCTCATCCGTGGTATCTCCCCATGTGCGTGTATACAGGAGGGACCTTCGTCTATGTATGCGGTCCCTTCCCTCCCTCTCACATGTGTGATGTATGATGGGATGTCGTAACAGTCCAGGTCAGGTCAGGACTTATCTCCAAGTCTTCCGCTGTGCTATTAAATGCCATTGTTCATGTATCGGGATGTACACTGTCTGTTGATATTACGTTAGCAGTCCACTGTCCATTCAGTCCTTTTCATCAGAATGCGGATCCTTGGCTGAACTCTCAGTGCCCGACTGGGCATGTAACACAAACCATGGCCTTCCTTCAGGGGTGCTTCTGCTGACTGGGAAGCTTGCTGGCAGCCCCCAGTTACACAGCAGAAGGATCCCAAGGGAGGTGGGGTGCAGGAGGGGTGTCCATAGCAGTCTCTCAGGCCACACGAGTCATCACATCCCCCAGTCACCCCTCAGAGTCTTTGTTTCTTTTATTATCTATCCCCTTTCTCGTCCTTGTTTCCTTAGGTATCCCTCCCTTTGCAATGTCTGTTCCTCCCTTGCAGTAGCCTTCTCCACTCCTGCACTTTCCAGATTTTCGTAACTTTCTCTTATTTTTTTTATTTTTACTGGCCCAGTGTACTCCACTATTAACTGTGATATACTCGTTTGAATTCTCAGCTTACCGATTCACTAGAAATGGAAAGCACAGTTGAACCATCCTCAGCTTACCCACTTGCTAAAACTGGAAAGAAGAGAAATGGTGGCCTAAAGCAGAGGACTCGGGGGAGAGAGCGTATTCAAATTTAGAGCTCACTCAGACTTCTCGGACTGAGTATGGCGACAATCACTGTCAGAAGCATACAGGAAAGTCCTATGGTATTCACCCAAATAGTATGCATGCCGTTGCATGGTCATTATCGCTGCATCTAAGACTGAACGTTGGCCTAAAGACAGCTATAATGACCGTGCAATGTGCGTTCTATTTGGAGAAAATGGTAGTACGAGTATACTCTCAATGTTAAGGTCGATAGGCATCAGAGTCTACATTATAACAGTTAATGATAACACTGGCACAAATTGGCAGTAAAAGGGTGACCAGATCAATGGCCCTCAGAAAAAGATTGAAGTTCATGAAACTCACCAACCCCTGACAGGGTGAACAGTACAAAAAGATAGATCCTTTCTTGTTTGCTAACACTACCTTGAATATTTTAGCATTTTTTACCATTTTACTATTATAAAATAGTACATTAGGACACCAATGGGCCTAGCTCAGTTGGTACACACATGAACTGTTGAAATGCAGACCGGAGTTTGAATCAAGGACCACCAGAGGACCAGAATAAAATCATTCTGAATTACCTGGGGCCGGTCAGTTCAACGATGACATCTCAAGGCAGTCACCCTTAAAAAAAAAAAAAAAAAAAAAAGTAAATTAGTACACCACTAACCTTGATTCCCTCAATCAGCCTTCCTGGCAGGCTTCCTATGTAAGTTCGTCGATGTCCTCGGATGTCTGCTTCATCCTTTACGCCGCCAAGTGAGATCCGTACAAACTTTCGATCAAGCGCCTTCGCAATGGATGACCCCAGTGATGTCTTCCCCACCCCTGGTGCTCCTATGAAACACAACACAGGACCCCTCACATCTGGCTTCAACTAACAGAAACAGAAAGGAGTAATGTAGAAGTCGAGCACAGGACAAAAGACACACGACAATTCTTTGAGAATTAGCAGCAGCCTGGTTTATCTCATGAGACCAGCTGTTAGATGCTCGGCAAATATCATTTCAACCTCTCTCTCTCTCTCTCTCTCTCTCTCTCTCTCTCTCTCTCTCTCTCTCTCTCTCTCTCTCTCTCTCTCTCTCTCTCTCTCTCTCTCTCTCTCTCTCTCTCTCTCTCTCTCTCTCTCTCTCTCTGTGTGTGTGTGTGTGTGTGTGTGTGTGTGTGTGTGTGTGACGTCATATTCGCCATACACGACTCCACAAAGAAAAGCATGACTGTGCCAGACTCTTCCATTGAACTTTCACCGACTGATCAGGAGGTTGAGCCCCGACAGTCTGCCGAGGATGCATTTGACTGATGCATAAGGACTATCTCTGTCTGTTGGTGTGAGGGATGCACAGGCCTCCCACACGGGCCTTGGGAGAGTGGTTTTGATTTCAGGTGCCCTCGGTTTTCTGCCCATAGTCCATTCTTACAAGCCGCATGAGTTTTGTCTTGTTTTTTTTTTTTTTTTTTTACAAATAGCATGCTTCATTATATATAGAGCAAAAGGGGGCCGGGAATCCCTCTACATCTCAACCCGGAAGACTGGGGCCATTACCCAGATTAGGCTCATACTGGAAACTGGGTCTAGTGTCCCTTTCTGCTGCCAAGCTACATGCTATTCCTGAACAAGGACGAAACAGGATTAACAAAAGACAAATAGCAATAGAGGAAAGAAACTGCCAACCTGTCTCTAGGTTGCATTAGGAGCCGAAAGAACTGACCATCCTACCCCCAGGTTGCACGTACGAATTGAAAGGGCTGAAATGACATGGGAGAACTGAAACCCCTGCGGAGTGCCACAAAACGCTACACTCTATAGCATGCTGTCTTTTAATCCCAAAACGCTCGTTTGCACTTAGAAAATAAAGGGGCTGAAGTGAAAAGGCAGGGCCTAAACCCCTGCGGCGTATTCCAATATGCCACCCCCTACACCTACCTCTATTTACCTCTACCTAACTTCTCCCTCCCCTCACACTTTCCAACTTACCTCTCCTTAAACCCTAAACCCTACTGCTATCATTTCTCCTTCTGTTCTACCCGTCTGTCTGACTAGGACTTTGTCTCCTACCATTCTGGGGAGCACAGTCCGGTTCCTTTCCCCCAGCAAGTCAATAATGGATGCATAAGAAACTCACTCACGCTCCTCCCCATTATGGCTGGGAGGCCCAAGTAGACGGCATTGATTACTTCCGTAAGGAAGGATGTACCATCCCTCACCCCTGCCTAAGTTAGTCTGAGTTTTCACTCCTTTGACCATCTCGCTCCCAGTTGTACTCCTCTCAGTAATGTAGCTGTCAGATAATTGTGTTTTAACTAGAGTCGTCCTGGACAACTATGGGGCAGTCCTTAACTATATCTCTCCCACCGTTTCCTACCTATTATATCAGGCCTAGATTGACTGATTGTAATGGTGTCAGTACAGGAGTCGTTGAGTCTTCTGTCTCCTCATGTTGAACTCTGTGCTGGGTCCCTGCTATTCTCCAGACTAATCGTGGTGTATTACCTTGAATATTTCCTAGCTTTCCTTCTCCCAGCCTTTCTTTTTTAAATTTGTCAACAATTTCCCGTTGTTTCGTAGGATCTAACTTTATGAGCTTAGATGCTTTGTTCCAGTCTGCTTGATATTCATCTTGTCGAAGGTGGAGGAGGATCTGCCACGCTTCAGGCTCAAATATAGACTGAGTTGTTATTGTCTCCTTGCACCTTCTTTTCCAGATTATCCATAGTGTGAGAGGTCGCAGTCTCCGATAGAAAGTCTTTTGCCACGCCACAGGGAGGTTTGGCTCATGCAGCCCAGTTAGCCTTGTAATGTTGTTGCCTGGTAGGGGTGTTTCTGTTAAAGAAAACCACAAGGCTTCTGTTCTGATCCATATCTGTGTTGCCTTTGAACAATCGAGCAAGCAATGTAGCAGGTCTTCTGAGACACCCTCTTGACAAATAGCACAGAGATCGTCTAGTGATTGTCTGCCCATCTGTGAACGACGCCTGCTTAGCCACTTTTCGACGGGAAGCGCATGATAATAGATGAGCCATTGCATACTCCTGATGCGGGTGTTTCTAATTGATAACGGGACTTGCCATGAGATCTGAGTCCCGGCCCCTAGCCCCCCCGGAACATGCTCCTGCCATCTTGTTAATAGTGTATCACTGGTGTCGACTGCTCGCCTCCGAAGTCTGTATCCAAATCTGGTTGTGTAGTCAAGAATGCTTGTTCTGGGTTCCACCCTCGTTTGAGTAGAGTATGTTTTCCATGCCCACTCTGCTGGGTCAAATTCGAGATATTGCAGCTCTTCTGTTGGGTCGAAGATTCTATAGTCCTCATCCTCGATTACTCTCACTTTCTTCATTACTGCCATCTTTGCTGTTACTTTGGCGGTAGTCGCCTTGGAGACCCCGCTTACAGTCTGTCCCGGATGCTGTATATCGTAAATTGACCACGACGCCCATTCTCCCGCCGGGCCTGTGCATTTGATGAAAGAAAAGGCCATTGTCGGGGTGGTTTCTCATCTTCCCATGGTCCACTCTCCTGCTATCCATGTGGAGGGGGACTGTAGCAGTTGAGGCCATTCCAGGGGAATAGATTGAAGGAGGCCAGTGAGGTTATCTTGCAGATTGTTACAACCCTTAAGTGTATCTCGGAGTTCCGCACATGTTTTCCATCGATTATGCTGTTGGCTCCATAAATGACTGATTTTCCAAACCCCTCGTTCCAACCACTTGATCCATCGTCCATCCTGGGAAGTTAATGTCCAGGCCCCAGGGTTTATCATCCTGGTTTTTTATCCATTGGTTGCAGAATAGAGGTTGCCGTAATACCTCTTCCCTGTTTATTGGTCTCCGTGTTTTAGCCGGGAAGATCTCCCCCCAAGATTTGATGAGGTGCATCCAATAATCTGTGTGAGAGTCTTGTTGTAGTTGTTGTTGATGCTGTTGCAGTACTCTTCGACGAAGAGACCATGATTTGGACATTGGCCAAAGTAACCTCGCATATTGTCTCTTATACACATCTAGATGTGTATAAGAGACAGTAAGTAACCTCGCATATTAGTCGGAGAAGATGCTCTTGGGAGTTGTCTGATCCTGTAAAGTGTCAACGAAGTCCACGGCAGTCTGTGGTTTGTGAGCAGCTTCACTATCCACTTAGTCTGCAAAGCTTTGGTCTGTGTGTGAGGGTCCAGAATTCCCAGCCCTCCTTGTTCCTTTGGTTGTGAGAGTCTTGTTGTAGTTGTTGTTGATGCTGTTGCAGTACTCTTCGACGAAGAGACCATGATTTGGACATTGGCCAAAGTAACCTCGCATATTAGTCGGAGAAGATGCTCTTGGGAGTTGTCTGATCCTGTAAAGTGTCAATGAAGTCCACGGCAGTCTGTGGTTTGTGAGCAGCTGCACTATCCACTTAGTCTGCAAAGCTTTGGTCTGTGTGTGAGGGTCCAGAATTCCCAGCCCTCCTTGTTCCTTTGGTTGTGTGAGGTACCCCCAAGCGACCTTGGGAATGAAGCTCTACGTAGAAGGATTACCGGTCCACAGATAAGCTGTAGAACGTGTTCTGAGCTCGTTTGTCATACGCGCCTCGGGCGTCCAAATGGTTGCTGTGTACCAGAGCATGGAGAAGATGGACGCATTGAGTATCAACGCATTGAGTTTTGTATTGTTGTTCTCTTCATTTTTATTTTATTTATTCATGCAGTCTGAGTTTTGTCCAGGTTCTCAGATTTTTCGTCTCTTTTGATGTCTGCTGACTCGGCTCCAGTTTTGGCTGTTCTGGGCTGGTGTCGTTTCGGATTTCTCATGTCCAAACATGCACAAGTACCTGTTAGGACGAGAGGTAGGACTGGTTTGAGCATTTTTGGCGTTCTAGGCCCTGAGCGACTTTGTCTATATTTTCTTGTCATGTAGTGCTGGTTCACTCCTTGCCCGTTTCAGGCAGGTCAGAAGGTCTGGATGTCCATTAGGGACGCAGGCCACACACTTTGAGGCTGGGCCGCTCGGGACCGGGACTGAAGCCTGCATCCAGGATCATCAATTGCCGGTAGATCGGATGGCCCTCGATGCAGACTGGTAAGATATCCAGGAGGCCCAGGGCTGGGCCTCACTGGACAGGAGTTTTAGTTACTCTATTCGACGCCAGGCTGCTAAGGAGCAGCACTGGAGAGAGTTAGTGTGTTGGTAGCCGAGGTTAGTGCTAGTGGGAGTATAAGGAGAACAGGTGAGAGCGGACGTAGTGTTGTGAGGAGGAGGTCTCAACTTGGCACCATAGCTTGGGGTCTTCTTAGCCATAGCCGGGCTTCACTCTGCGATCTGGCGAGGATCATGACAGCACCATCGGCCAATATCTGAGCTGCAAGAGAGAGATACTTCTTCTCCTCCTACTTGATATCCACCTCCTTCCTTTCTCCAACTTCACAGAGAGAGAGAAAGGGAGGGAGGAGGGAGGGAGGAGGGAAGGAGGAGGGAGGAAGGGACAGATCAGCTGGTCCAGGCCACTACAAGAACGTTTTTGGCCACCTGCATTAAGTGACACATCCTCGCCGACAAAAACCTCCAGGACAGCTGCATGCCATGTGGCACGCTTCCTGAAAACGTTTGGAAGTCCGCAGGCATCCATGGGCAGTCCTGGTCTACCAGCACTGTCATAGCTTCCTGTCATCAATCCATAATTACAAACTGAGCAATGCTGATCACAACTTGAGTGCAATGAGTTGAGATAGCACGGAGAAAGCCATTTCTGCAGTTATGGGGATCCCCATCTCTCTGAGGCCAGTGTTGTGGCTTCACCACCTGTGTTACCAGGGTTGCCCGGCCTGAACTGCCCGGCCGGGCTTCTCGGGTGGCACTGCCCCCGGGCGATTCAAATCCAGAGTGGCTTCCCCACCCACCCTCACCCCCCCCTCTCACAACTCGAGTGCAATGAGTCGAGATAGCACGGAGAAAGCCATTTCTGCAGTTATGGGCATCCCCATCTCTCTGACGGCAGTGTTGTGGCTTCACCACCTGTGTTACCAGGGTTGCCCGGCCTGAACTGCCCGGCCGGGCTTCTCGGGTGGCACTGACCGGGGTACCCGGGCGACTCAAATCCAGAGTGGCTGCCCCTCCGCGCGCGTGTGTGTGTGCATGTGTGCGTGTGTGTGCGCGCGCGTGTGTTTTGGATTTTCACCACAACAGCCACTAATCCAACCAGACGAGTAGAACCAAAACCGAAGCAGCTTTAGTCCTATTGCAGACAACAAAGCACATCTGAATTGAGACATTCCAACAACGAAACAGCTTTACCGCCGCTATAGCAAGTAACATGGAGCAAAATAAATCCGTCCAAATCCCTTTTTCAACTATATTTACTTTGGCTTTCTTTGCGGTACTCCTTTCATTTGTTCTTGCAGCTCCCCTTTTACTATACCTCTCACATTCAAGGGTGGCCACATTGATTGTGGTTGAGTATCCAGCGTCCGGTTCATGTACATTGAAAGCCATGAACATGTGGACATGTGGCAGCATGTGCTTCATTCCCTGTAACACATGGCAGCATGCACTTCATTCGCTGTACAAGTGGCAGCATCCGCATCATTCCCTGTACATGTGGACACAGTGCTCCCTCCTTCCCTTAATTCCTCCCAGCTTACACATCTCCACACCCCACGCCTTCCCCTCCAGTTCGAAACATCCCAACATCTCTACTCTCCAATCCTTCGTCTCCACTGCCTCCAGTTCGCATCCAGTTCGTGACCATCTCTCTCTCTCTCTCTCTCTCTCTCTCTCTCTCTCTCTCTCTCTCTCTCTCTCTCTTGGCTCAGTTTCATGTGGATATAGATAGGGATGGAGATAAACATATGGCGTGGATATGGAGAGCCTCCTGGGCATGCCACCCAATCAAGCAGTCACACTGATCACACTGGACTGCTTCAGAATACAGGGCACTTGAGTGGCTAATGGACCAACGCCTGCCAAGGTCCTGGATCATCATTCCTCACCAAAGAAGCGCACCATCACGCACACACACAGAGCAGCAAACCACCACACAGTGGAACCTCGCTTGCACCTGAGAGTCTCTCAGTTCCGACAACTGCAAGGAGGATGACCGCGATCCCGATGAGGAATGGCAGTGCAAACCCCGTCTCTTCCTCACTGAGGCTTACTCCCAATCAAGCCTGCTGTACAGGGGCAGCATTGTGCACCTTGAGACCGACTGATTGGTGCGCAGGGTCCGACAAGATTATCCACAACCTTATCCACAACATGCAGACGGCTATTACAGGTGTATCGACAAGCAGATGACCAAGAAGAAGACGGCTATTGCAGTGGTGGCAAGTACTGGGAGGAGGTGGTGGAGCGGCCAATCATCAGAGAAGGAGGAAGGGGAGGAGGAGGAGGAGGAGTAGGAGGCCGCAGAAGAATTAAAAAAAAGAAAACCGTCGACCATCGGATTCATCGTTATTATCATCGTCATCATTGTCCTCCTCCTCCTCATCATCATTGGAAAGGAAGAGAAGGATGGCTCGATGAAAGGGCAACAACGGTTCATCATCCTCGATCATCGTAATAGATTCTCCTCCTCCTCCTCTGACTCCTCCGCCACCTTGTCTACTTCAGACAATTCATTGTTGAATTCCGGCTTCTCGTCAACCCCCCAGCCCCCCCCACTTCTTGTTCTCTCATGGGAAACGACGATGCCAACGCATACCTCCTTCTTCTTCTGTGACTACTATTCCTCTTCCCCCGGCCCCCTCCTCCTCCCATGGAAAACGGCGATGCCATCACAAACCATCCTCACTCAAGCAAGGGGGCCAGAAGGTGGAGGCGGCGGATGAGGAGTTGCAGGAGGAAGAGGAGTGGGAGGATGGCGAGGAGCAGAATAAGAAGAAAAGGAGAAGAAACAAAAAGAAGGTGGAGGGGGAGGAGGAGTGGGAGAAAAAGAAGTACAAGAGAAGAGGAGGAAGAGGAAAAAGAAGAAGAAGACGGAGGAGGAAGAAGATTGTGGATGCACCTGGCAATGAGCGTGGCCTGCATGGCAACGAGGGCAGCATCACAAACGGCGGCAGCTACCGGCCCACCGACATACCCCGTTTGTCTTTTTTTTTGCCGCCGTTTTTTTTTCTTCTTTGCGACCCCACTCCATTTCTTCTGCATGTACATCCGGAAAGCTGGGGCTACATAGGGCCTACCAGGTGGAAACGCACCCCCAGTGAACTTGCGCTGCCCCACACGGTGGCCAGCCCGGGAGGGCTGGCTGGCTGGGCTACCCGGACAGGATCCAGGCGGGTCTGATCCAACCTGGGTGGCCAGGCCGGCAACACAGTTTACCACAGAAAGAAAAGCAGGACCTCAGGGCGGGTGCTTCTAACGGAGAACTGCAGTAGGGGTCTAAGAATTAAGGTACTTTACCACTTTTGGATAAAATACCTACGGAGATTTCGTTGAATTTGCAATTGCCAGAAATGTCCGCGCGGTGTATGCCAGACATCCAGGTACATTTTGGTCATTGGAAGCTGATAACAAGAAAACAAAAAAAAGGAAGCTCAGTTAGACCCACATTGGGAACCATCACCACTTTCTGACAAACATTCAGCGACAGCCGCAGACTGCTTCCAGACCCCCCTTCTACTCCTTCCAACCCCCATCTCTCCTCCCTCATCCCCTTCCTCCTGCATACATACCTTTCAAACTGCTTCCAAACCCCCCTTCTACTACTTCCAACCCCCATCTCTCCTCCCTCCTCCCCTTCCCCCTGCATACATACCTTTCGTACCGCAAGATACTCTATAATCCTCCTTTTGACCTTGCCAAGACCGAAATGCTCTTTGTCCAACGCATCACGCGCAGCATCCAAATTGATCTCTTTTTCCTCGCTGCTTGTAGACCAAGGCAAATCTGCTAGCAGTTCAAGATATTGTCGAGAACTACCATAGCCAGGCTGCTGCGGAGACATTTTCTGCAACCGCCTACATTCATGACACAAGGAGAATAACGTACAAAAAACTGTTACAAGCTTAGATTTTTCAATTGACCATTAAGAACAAAAAAGAACGCAAGAGATCTCATAGCTTATTAAACAAATGATCATTAAAAGAATAAATAAATCATATTAGCCTTCTAGGCTCAACAAGAATTGAACCAAGATCCAGAGGAAGGCATCCTCAAAGTGCACACCTTACGCACAATCAGAGTAATGGGGCTATGGCCAAAGACTAGTTTGAAAGTTCCAAATAGGCACTCACATCCAGGAGCTGGAATTTGAGCAGGCGGAAACATTGGGTGCACCACTGTCACAAGAGGAGCTGTAAAAACTGCTATAAAGCCTTAAAAGCCATGAACCGAACAAGACGCCAGGAAAGGATGGTCTGACAAGGGAATTTTGGCTGGCCTACTGACCAATACTCGGACAAGAATATGAGACCTTTCTCAACAAGGCGAGGCGAACGGAGGGGATGGGGATAGATCCGACTGCTGGAGTGGTAAGACTGCTATACAAAAAGGGTGACCCGAAGGACACATGCAACTACAAGACCTATAACCCTGTTCACAATGAGACACATAATAGTGGTGAAGACTCTAGCTAAATTAGGGTTATTAACACAAAATTGGTTGTCGGTTAGATACATAAATGACAAGAAAATCAACACAGCGTTCTTAGACTTTGAAAAGGCCTACGATCAAGTGAATTGGGTATTCTTGCAACAATGCATGGAAAAATGGGAGTAGGCTCAGTAGGAGCTAATTTCAGAAAATGGGTAAGGGTGCTATATAATGATGCACACGGACAAGTTCAAGTTAATGGTTACCTGTCAGAAAAGTACAAGATGTTTAGATCAGTTACACAGGGTGATCCGTTAGCCGCCCCCATCTTCTTCTTGTTCATAATGGAAGCAATAGCCTCCTTCTTAAGAAAGGGCCCATTGGTTGAGAGACCAGCGACAGCAGCTGACCAGCAAGAGAGACAGATCTACATCTCGACCACTATTCCTTTTGCAGATGATCTAACAGTATTAATAAGGGCCTCAGATTCCTCATTTGAAGCATTAACAAGAGCTATGCTGGCGTTTCAGATAGCCTCAGAGATGAGAATAAACTGGACAAAGAGTGGGGTGCTGGCTGACAGATCCAGCAGAGGCAATCCAAACACCAGCAGCTACCCTAGAAGGGATGCAATGGCTACTCCCATCACAACCACTCAGATTCCTTGGAGTGAAGGTCACGGAGTCAGGACAATCACACTCTATGGCCCCTGAAATGCTGGCAAAAATGCTTGCCAAAATGGGGGCCTGGTCTGCAGTGTACTTCTTAATGCATTGATATTCTCCATGCTATTGTATGCAGCAACGGTCTGGAGTCCCATGGCCAACCTAAAGAACACTACCCCACAGCCAAGCTAACGAAGACTCTAAGGGGAAGGGCGGCATCATATCTGTGGACGGCTAATCCATCAAAGCAGAATTTTATAACGAAGATGGCATGAAGATATGTGATTAGGAAAGGAGGACTGGAACTCTGGGTATAATAGAACCAGAAAGGCCAGAACTCCGAATTTTAAAGCACTGCACACTAAGTGGCTAGTGAAATTGATCAGCAATTCGAAGCTACCGTGGATATCACTAGCACTGGAAAGAATCAGCAATTTGAGGCAAGATATAAATCGACAGATAACATGAGCGGTTTGTTCTGGCTTACGTGCAAATCATGGGCAAAGACTGGGAGCGAGAGAAAGGAGGGCCCCAACGAGGAGGGACATCAGGAGGGAAAGGAAAGCTACCGGAGGTACTTGATCAAGTTTTTCGGCGAAGTCTATAAAGTTAGTATAAACCTAGGAGGAGAGAATGAGAACTGTGACAATCACTCTTCTGCAATCGAGGCTTGAGGACGAGAAGGGTAGACCAAGAACACTAACAGCTCAAGATACCAAATGGGGCACTTGGGTAGAGCACAGAGTATGGCAAGTCAAACATCTATGGTCTGAATGGTGTGCTAGTGTCTATGCCAGAAGAATGGGTAACCCTGCTGAAAAAAAGACAGCAATGGGCAGGACGGGAGTGGGTGACCTGGAAGAATGATAAAAAGCTCAAGGTAGGCAGATGGCTGAGCACCGACATGCACACAATAGAAGAGCCGGGGAGTACAATGAGTGGCCTGAAGGAGGAATCAAGGACTCTACTCTCAGTAAGAGGGGAACTGATGCAAGGTGAGAGCTATAGAAGATGGCGAGTTTACCATCTGTAACCCGACAGTCCCGATCGAAAAATTGGACATTGAACCGGTGGAGTGGCGTGGAATCTGAGTGGTATGAGGACCAAAGCGGCATTACGGACCAATATTCTCCACTACTCAAAGAAACTGGGATATAAGCTCAGAATGTGTTCACACTCCCCAGGAGAAATGTTGGAGCATAGATGGAAAACCAGATTGGGAGCGGAGCCGGAGCAGCTACAGGGCTTCCCGTGGACACAGTTAGAGGCCATTAGTATAGTTAGGAGCATGCAATGGTTGTTAATTTATCTAGCCTTACTGGTTAGGAGCATGCAATGGTTGTTAATTTATCTAGCCTTACTGGTAAATGAATGGCTAAGTACACGGAGGAATAAGGAACACAGATCCTCACAGGCGGAGTCGTAGCAGAGAGATGTGTAGCCTGTACAGAGGGCAAGAAAGAGACGGTGAGTCACTGCTTTTTCGAATGCCAAAGGGCAAAGCAGATGTGGGAAGTAATCAGGAAGCTATGGGAACAAGCATCATCCACCCCTTTCCCGTACAACCCAGTAGGGGTGCTCTTGGGAACACAGACTCCAAACACATGGACGGGATTCGAAACAGAACTACCGTCAGAAGCTGCATCTGTTTTTTTGTTTTTTTTTTTTTTTTTTTTTTTTTTTTTTTTTTTTTTTTTTTTTTTTTTTTTTTTTTTTTTTAACCAAACAAAACCTGACGGTTCTGGCTTCATATGTCTGTACTACTAATTGGGAGTCTGTCTCGTCCTTGCTCCTCTCAGCTTCTGGACCGTCAAATACACTTGGATGACTACCGTCTTCACCTGAATACAAGGTATGGTCATTATTGCTGTATCTAGATTCGAAGTTTCCCTAAATACAGATATAATGACCGTACGTTGTATTCAGGTGAAAACGGTAGAGCAGTACAGCACTTCTGCTTCCTGACTCTCCTTCCTTAACAGACCTTGCTGCTGTCCTAAACCCCAAAATGCCCAGGAACTGTAGGCACTCTTGGTATAGTCTGCCAAAACCCTAAACCCTAGGTGGTCTTCACCTTGTCCTAGATTGCTCTCTAGATGAGGGTGTGCCTCTCTTCCCTTCTACCTGTGACCGATACTATGACGCTTTGCTTTTCTACTCATCCAGGTCCATGGGTTCCGCCCCTCTGCTCTCTGTCCCTTACCTGTCTGTACCTAGCTCGCACCAGTCTGTGAAGTAAAGTGCTCTTTCTGTTATCAGCGCTATAAGCCCGCCCTTCAATAAAGTTTCTCCCCAAATTCTTTCTGTATTCTGGTCTTCTTTTCGTCATCTACTTCCTCATCCAGTTTTCTTAGGGTGCGCCTCCACTCCATTCTGATTTCCGCCTCCATTAGCTCTTTTGCTTCCTCCCATGATTTGTTCGTGGATATCTTCTTTTTTTTTCCTGTTGTTCCCCTGCATCTTGCCCTCCAAATTACCCACAGGGTGGTTTTTCTCAGAAGTTCCATTAGGTCGTCATTCTCATCTGGGCCTATGTCCCCCACATCAATTGCTGTCAAGAGAAAGAATTGGTCTGTTAGAAAATCTGAAAAAGTGATGTTGGACCAAACTCCGTTGCATTTGTCCCGTAAAGCGGTAACATGTTGGCATTCTAGTAGGCAGTGGGTTAGCGTTTCTGTTTGGTTTCTGGTACACATTTGGCACACGGCCAATGTTGCTGTTCTTTCTTCTTCCCTTCGTCTTCTGTCTAGCCATTCATTTACCGGAACCGCAAGATAGATTATTAATTTATTAACCATTGCAAGCTTCTTAAGTTTGTGGTCGGATTGATGCATAGCACGACCATGGGATTGACCAAAGCCAGGGTGGGTTTGTTTGGAGGTCATTCTCCCATCTTGCGGCTATTGTCGATTGGGGTTTTCTGCTTTGCATCTGGTTTTGTATCCTGTTTTCACCGTATACTCATGCAGCACTATCCACCTCTTTGCCCCGCCCCTCCCTCGTTCCTCATACCAGCCCCATTCCCTAGGATCAACTTCCAGTTCCGTTATGTCTTTGTCCGGCCTGAACAGCCAGATAGAACCTTTTGCTTTTCATTTTCCTCATTTTTCCGTCCTTTCGACTCCTTTCAAGTCCTTTGTTAATTCTTTTTTTTTTTTTTTTTGGTTAAGTGCCCAGGTTGTTGTAGAGGTTAGAGTCAGACTTTGGAAGACCCCAGGGACTCGGTCATTTGGAGTCTGGATGGCCCACTCCTATCGCAAGTCGTGCCCCTCCAAAGCCTACCAGTTATGTGCAGGGACTGGTGCGAGCCCCACCTTCGGATGGCCATGCGGCCTGGGGGCCCCTCACTGCCCTCAGCAACCGTCGGGCCCCTCAAATGGGGCCCGTGTGCAGGCGCAGCATGTAACACCGTGACTTCTAACTCGTGTAACTCGGAGTTAGCTATATTTCCATCTGTCGCTGACTGCTTGATGAAGTGGAGGGCTACTGAGGAAGAGCTTTGCACTCTTAGCGGTGCCCAATCCCCCTTTTTCCATGTTCTGTTCTTTTCCAGTAGTAGCCTCCAGGCTATCGGTATGTTGTCTGTGTTGAGTTGGAGACTACAGCCTTGCAGGGGTGGGGTGGATATCACGACCGGTATGGTTCCACTTTTGAACACCGTGTCCCGTCTGTAGTGGTTAACATACTTGGCTCTTGAGGCCGAGGTCGCCGGTTCGAATCCATGCTTGCACAGAGGAGGACTTCGGGCTCAGATGTGTGGA